GACCAAAGTGGGCTGGTGGTCCTTCTCCCACTTGACACCGTAGCGGCGGCGCACCCTGCACCAGATGCGCAACCACTTGCCCATGAGGCCGATCGGGCGGCGGCCTCCGTCTGGCTTCCCCAGGAAGAGGAACACCGTGGTGAAGAGGGCCGTGGGCTGCGGCTGCAACACCCAAGCCGTGAGCACCTCTGCCATCATATCGGCGAAGGGCCTGCCCTGGGAGAGGACCAGCCGCGGGTGGAACGCATCCCAGCCCAGAGCGGTCTGCTTCGGGAGCGACTTCGCCGCCTCGAGGCTGTCGCCCACCGTGAACGGGGGCAGCACTATGGAGCAGATCCAATCGGCTGGTCTGGTCCTGTGCTCCCTATCGGCTCCTTTCCAGAGGGCCTTCCACACTATGCGGATCTGGTTCTGGGCTTGCTGGACTACAACGAGGAGCGTCAGCCAGTCGGGGCAGTGCGCGATCACCGAGTCCAGCACCTGATCGCGGTCCTGCATGACATCGTGGGCTCCTTTCGCCCCTGTCGCCGAGGCCACGTCCACGTAGTCCATCCAGCGCAGCCTGGCCGCCTTGGCTTCTTCTTTGCAGAGTCTCGCCGCCGCGCTCTCGATCATCTGCAGGAAGGCCTGCCCTTGCACAGAGGGCTCTTGGATCACCACAGTCAGCGAGTCCAGCTTGGTGCCTTCAAACATGGAGCAGCCCGCCTGCTCGAACTTGGGCCCCAAGCTCTTGGCCACCTGCACCAAGTGCTTCATGTAGCCCCCGTGCCCCTCAGGGGGTGAGCTGACGGCAGCAGCCGCACTGAGCTGCCTGGCGATCCTCCCGAGGCAGCGCCAGCACTTGGTGAGGGGGCTAAGCTTCCTGACAGCCTCCATGCGCTGCAGCTTGGCCAGCTGGAGGGGCTTGGCCTGCGGTCGCCCTGGCTGGGGCTGGGCTGCAGGCTTCGCGGCTGCCGCGGCGCCCGCGCGGCCGCCAGGCGGGCGGCTGCCCTCCGCCTTGGGGCCCCGAACCTCAGGGGGTCTCACGCCCTCGCCCTTAGCCTCGCCAACTTGAATTGGGTACCCACTATTCCGTATGGGCCCCTGGCTGGGCTGAGGACTGCCAGTCCTTCGGTCGGGCCCATCCAAGCCCGCCGCAGCGCTTGGCTCTGTCCTGCTACGGAGCGCCTTGAACTTGGAACCATGGCGCGCATCGTCGGAGCGTCGGTCCTGGCGCAGCAGCGGCCCAGTGAAGGGAAGCCCTTCCCCAGCGTCGGCCTCGACGTTGGCCGCCAGGTAGGCGTGCATGCCGCCGCTCGGCGCCGCCTTCGCCGCGGGGCGGCTGGGCGTCGCCGCCTCTGCCTCCTCGGCACCGTCTGGGACGGGCGGCGCCGCGCTTACGGGGCCGCCGCCTGGCAGCAGGGTGCTACCCGCGGGCCTGGCCGCTGCCAGCAGCAGCGCCAGCAGCAGGTGGAGGGGCCGCCGCAGCAGCCTTTTGGTCGGCAGCGCGCTGTCGGGCCGCCACGTCTGCCGCTCGGCTCTCCACGGCGGCCGCTGGGGGGGACCCTGCACCAGGCGCAGCGCCTGCTGCTGGGGCGGCGGCTGCAGCAGGGGCGGCCGCCTGTCCTGCTGGCTGCGGCGGGGCGGCCGCGCCCCGCACGGGGGTGCCAGCGGCCACGGCTGCTGCAGGCCCCTCCTCGGTGCGCTTGCGCTTCTTGGCCACCTCCTCCTCGATCTGGCGCTTGATGCGCTGCTGGTGCTCCTGGCAGTTGCGCTCGAACGTAGCCTGCGCCCCCTGCATGACCTGGAGCCCCTCGTCACAGAGGCGCCTGAGGGTGGCCTGCGCCTCCTCCTCCAGCTCCGCGAAGTTCTCGAATGACTCCGCGTCGAAGTTGAAGGTGAGCTGCCTCGCTCCATCGGGCTGGGCGCCCACGACGCCAGCCGCTTGGGCTCGCTGGCGGAGGAGGGCGTTCTCCTCCTCTTTGGCCTCTGCGAGGTTGACCGCCGCCTCGTCGCGCCAGCCTCGGCACAGGGCGAGGTGGTCCTCCGCCGCCACGAGCGCGTCCGCCGCCTCGTCGAGCTGGCGCTGGAGGTGGATCCGCTTCGCCGTGGCCGACTGCAGCCTCTGCTCGAGCGGCTTCGGAGCAGGGGCGACCGCGGGCGCGACGCAGCCCCGCGCGTCACGGACTGCCTCCTGCAGCCTGGCCGCGATGGCGGGGTCCCCGCAGGCGAGGAGCGCTTCGAGCTCGCTCTCGGGGGGGGCCGACCAGGGGGCCTTCGGGAAGGCGCCTCCGCCACGGCCACCCGCGCCCCCGCCGCCGCCACGGGAGGCTGCACCACCACCGCCGCCACGGGAGGCTCCTCCACGGCCCTTGCCGCCCTTGCCGCCCTTGGCGCCATTCTTCGGTGGGCCTCCGCTGCCGCCTCCTCGCAGTGCGGGTTGGGAGCCGCCGCCGCCGTCGCCCGCCCAGACCCCGACGCGGGGCGAAGGCTTCGAGGGCGCCAGCTCCAGCCCGATCCCGCACAGCCAGCACTTCGCATTCCTGCGGAAGTTCCAGCGGAAACGGCAGCCCGTGCACACGACGAAGCCAGGCTCGGCCTTCGGCCCCATCGCCGGAACGGGCGGGCGCGCTGCTCAGCCGCGGGCGTGCAGCAGGCAGGTGCCGACGGGGGCGGACCCGCCGACACAGAAGAAGCCGTGACCCGCAGGTCCAGGGTGCTGCAGTGGCAGCTCACACTTGTTGGAAAGGAAGGTAGCCTCAAAGCAGAACCTCCCTCGCGCTTAGTCGCCCCGAAAGACTCGCGGTCGTCGGGACGGTTCATTGCCTTGAGCCAAAATGGCTACGGAACGGTGGGGGCGTTGAACGAGGAACCCTTAGATAAGGAATCCAGGGTCTGGAAGCCTGTGGAAAAGCCAATCGTGGATTGGCCATGGGTATCACCGCCGCCCTCATCAGATAAGGAGCCCTCCAGGGTCTGAAACCTCCTGGGCACGTTCCTTAACGAACGCCCCCACCGTATTCAAGCCTCTGGGGATGGCGCGCAAACGGGGGCGGACGAACCCGTCTGACAACTGGTGCCCGTAGCACCCGCACCTCCTACGAGGAGGAAAGGGAGGGAGGGGGGGAGGAGGAGGAGGAGAAGGAGGAGGAGGAGGAGGAGGAACAGGAGGAGGACCAGAGTCATCCCAATGTGCATCTGCGCTGGTGAAATAACCCTCAAGTCTCAAGTCCCCTCAGCGAAAGTCCCTGCACGTCTTCCTTTTCTCTACGGGGGAAACAATCATTAAAGCACGTGAGCTACACGGGCCTTCTATTCAAGCGAGGGCCACGTTGTAAAAGGAACTGCCGACCATGTGTCCAGGTATAATACAGCACACGGGGTAGGAGCACCAAATCAATGACCGACCCAACATTCCGCAAGAGCCCTTTTCCTTTTCAAAGAGAACAGCCCTCAACCCATTTACCAATTGCGCACGCTTCAGGTCCTTACCTTGAACAGCTAGACACAACAGCGATCACTCTGTTGACAAGGAACCACCATTCACTCGTATTGCACGGCGTACACACGTGATTCCATATCCGGGAATTATGACGGACCGCCACCCCTCTCACGGTCATCATGTGCTTGCAGACGTCATCCATTCACCGAGTGTTTGGGTGCGCATGGCCGCAGGACCAAGATTGAGGCGAAGCGAAGCGAGCCCTCAAATCTTGTGTATATATATAGAGAGAGAGAGAGAGAGAGAGAGAGAGAGAGAGAGAGAGAGAGAGAGAGAGAGAGAGAACGTCTCAGCACGCCAAGCCAGAGACCCGTTAATCGACAAAAGGAGCCGCCCTCCATCCCTGCAGATGTCGGAGACACGGCAACGACCATGTGCGCGTCGCGCGACGGCGACATATTGGGCACCACCTTCCATCATGTTTGTTTGCCATCCTCCCTGCTGTCCCATCCATCCTTTTTTGGCTCAAGGCTGCCCTGAGCACTACCTTCCATCATACTGACTGCGTGAATGTGCGCGGCGCCAGGGCGAGAGAGCCACACATGGACCCCCCCCCGCTTCGATCCTTGCATCTGGGATCTCCGAAAGCCAGGGTGCTGTGCGCGGTGCTCGGAACATGTTCACGACCGCCCTGCCTCCCTGTAACTAACTGCTGGGGGCTCTTGAAACGGATGCGCACAGCGCTGACGCACTAGCCATATGATGAACACGATTCGCCCTCCATCTGCGCAGGTGTTGGGGAACAGAAGCTTCAGAATCATGCGTGGCGGGGAAGTCTCGGGCGAAACTCCAGGCCCGCCTTACCGGCACCGACACGGAGAACGGATGGAGAAGAAGGACGAGGGAGCGAGGATGAAGGAGGAACGCAAGAGGGAGTAAGAGGGAGGAGGAACGAAGGAAAGGAGGAAAGAGGCACGAAGCATGGAAGGAGTAAGGAGCAAGTAAGATGTGAAACGGAGGAAGGAGGCACGCAGGAGGGAGGAACCCGCCGAGGGAAGGATGGATTGAGGGAGGAGGATGATGAGGAGGGAGGAAAGGAGGGAGGGACTCCCTTCCTTCCTCGTCTACACGCGCTGTTGGTCAGGCTGGTGGCTTTGCTCACGTACGTGGCCAATCATCCTCTGAGTATCGTTTAACCGATCCCCATCTCCAGCGGCGTGACCTGGGCCCCACTGGCCGATTTGCCCCCCCTGGATGGGGATATAGGCCGTTCCCTTCGGGTTTCGAGGTATCCCGAACTGGGGTGGTAATTTGGTGGGGGTCTCGAAAGGGATGGGGATGGGGATGGGGATCGGTTAAACGACACCGATCCTCACCAGCAGCTCTCTGTTCGACGCGCCGGACCTTTGCCACGGAGCGGCTGCCAGAGGGCAGCCACAAGAGGCGTGCTGCGGCGCGGGGCACCTGCTCGAGGCCCAGGAGGAGGCGCTGGCGCGCGCCGCTTCTCCTGCAGTAGCCGCTGCCGTGCCTCGACGACGTGGAGAGGCCCACGGCCAGCATCGAGGCGTGGTGCAGTCGCATGCTGGGCCGCAGGCTGCAGAAGGCTCACAACGGCTGCATACGTTGGGCTACCGATTCGCGGAAGGAGCGGCCTGGCCGAGCTCATCGCCATGCCAGAGCTCCTGAGGCCGAGCAACTCGAGACTGCCGGCCACGCGCGCGTCGCCACGAACCCCGAGTTGCTGCAGAGCGTCTGGAGCGACCTCACCTTCGACGAGGCAAAGCTCATCGAGACGCTCGGCGAGGTGCTGTGCCGAGCTTGAGACGATGACGTACCGCCGATTACTAACGAGCATCTCGGCCTGACGATTCGCCACATCTCGGCAGGCAAGGCGCGGGGTATCGACAACATCAGCTCCGCCGACCTCTACCGGCTGCCCAAGAATGGCCTCGAGGTCTTCGCCCAGCTGCTCAACTCTTGCGAGACGGAGGGCGCATGGTTATAGCAGCTGTCTGCGGTCCTCGGATTCGCTATCCCTAAGCAGATTGGAGGGGACCGCATCGTGGGCATGCTGCCCACGACCTGCAAAGTGTGGTCCAAGGTGCGCTCGGCCGCCTCGTACCACTGGAGCGACCAGCAAGGCGAATGGTGGGAGACACCCAGTTCGCAGGTCCTCTGCGTTGCGCGCGGCGGCCTGCCGCGCATGCGTGGACGAGGGCGACGGCCATAACGGCTAGGTCACGGCTACGCTGCTCCTCGTCATCGGGAAGTTCTACGACTCGATCTCGTTCAGGCGCTTGCTCCTCGCGTCCCTGGAGTGAGGCTTCCCCGCCATCGTAGCGGCCATGGAGGTCCAGCTGATCGCAAAGACGCGCCACCTGCTGTAAAGAGCTTGGCTGGGGCCTCGCCTGCAGGCGCAGCGCTCCGTGGTTGCGGGATTCTGCCGCGGCGGCGAGCTCGCGAAGGTGCTGCTGGGGCCGATCATTGCTCGAGCTGGGTCCGCCGTCGCGCCCAAGGCGGGGCTTGACGAGGCAGGCCTGGTGGTGTCGCCCAAGACCGCGATGGTCTGCTCCGACCCCGCCCTCCGCCGCACCACGGCCGCGGGCCCGGCGCGCCGAGGGGGCCCCGCCTCGTGCGCTCCGCAGGCCGTGGACCTCGGCGTCGACGCCGTACTAAAGCGGCGCCGTTGTCGGCGCAAAGCCAAGGGCCACGTTCAGAGACTGCGCGCGCGCGCCTCGCCAGGATCCTCAAGATCAGGAAACAGGTCCGCCTGGAGCGCATCGCCAAGATGCCGTGGGCGACGGGCACGCGGCCCCAGGCGACGTACGGCCATCAGGCCGCAGGCTTGGCGCAGTCGTCGCTGCTCGCCCTTCGCCGAGGCGCCGCAGCGGCTGCCGTCGGCCACGGGTCCGGCCGGTTGCTGACCACCTCGCTGGGCGCCCTCTACGGGCAGCGCGACCCAGGCCTGGGGATCCGCCGCCAGGTGGGGTCCGCCAATGGCTGGAGCTGTGGCGCACTCGACGTGCGCGGCCGAATCCAGCTCGCATGGCCACGCATCTTGGCGGAGCTGACCCGCGCTGGCGCGCGACGCTCGCAGAGCGCGGGCCCGTGGCCGCCGTCATCGCGCTCTTGCCGGACGCGGACTGGCAGCCTCTATCGCCTCAGCGGTGGGTTCGGCCGACGGGCGCCGTCTCGGTCGACGAGCGGTACATGCCCATCCCAATCGCCAGCGCGTCCAAGCTCCTGGAGGATCTCATCGGCGACAACTTGCAGAATGGCGCCAGACTCTCCACATCCAGCGCGAGCTTCAGAAGTTCATGGTGCGCGGCGCTCTCGACCAGTGGTCCGTGGTGAGCAGGGGCCAGTGCACCAGGGAGCGGCAGGCCCGCGCAGGCTACGACCCAGCGGTGCAGGACCGAAGCGGAGAGCCTCTTCCGCGCACGATGTGGAGCTGCGCGTGCAGCACGGGCCACGCCGACCGGGAGGCCACGGAACGTCTGTCGGCCCGAGCTCGAGCGGGCTGGGAGCAGGGCCCAGCCCTTTGGCTGCGAGGCGCGTGCGCGTCAGGGGTGACGACGCCTCGCTCCGACGATGCGCAGGCCGACTGGCACGAACAGTTCGGCTTCCCCTCCGACGAGTGCAGGAGCGCGCCCAACGACGTGCTCCACATCTTCGGCGACGGGTCTGGCAGACAGCATTCGTCCGATCCACGCCGACGGCGAGCTGGAGCAGCCGCCGTCGCCCTCCGCCAAGATGATGATGGGCAGCAGTTCCCCGTCGCTGCTGTGATAGGCGGACTGCGAGGCACCAGACAAACAGTGCCACGGGCCGAGACTCTCGCCCTCGCGCTGTGCCTCGCGTCTCCCAGCGGGAAGGATATATCCCAGTCACATTGAAAGCCTCTCGTTCAATCCGGGCGCTCACGGACATTCGAGAGAAATGTTGGCATTAACGGCGATCTCCCTGTTCGGATCCGCGCGGCGCTCGGACGGAGAGGGAGGTCTTCAGCAGATGTAGAGGTCTGATGGCTTCCAAGCCATCTCTCGAGCACGCTGCCGCAGGAAACTGTCGGTGCCGATGAACTGCCGAGCGGGATTGGGCCCGCGCCTTGATCGGCGATGCGCCTCGGGCCGATGAGTGGGGCGAGTTCGCGAAGCTCGTTGTTTTTTTCCTGGGGGAGGCGCCCGGAGCAACAGCGCAGCACGGAGCAGCGCGCGCCCACGGACACTCGTGGCACCGAATTCGGCCGCAGCGTGGGGGGCTACGGCGAGGCGGCTGGGCCCGCCCTGGCCAGGACGCGCGCCCTCAGGGCAGCCAGCCGCTCGGCAGCCGGCGCGACGCTCGTGAGGCGCCGGCCGGGTTCGTCGGGCGCTCGCGGACACGATGTCCCAGGATCCTTGGAACTCGCCTCGTGTCGAGCGCGCGCGCTCTCTTGGCCAGATGAGCTGCCAGACCGTGCGCTGGAGCGCACCCCCCGCACCCCTGGGACGAAGGCCTTCGGGGCGCTGGCGTCGCACCGCCTGTCGTGAATTTTAGCTGCCCCGACGCGCAACGCGCAACACGTAGCGCATGGATACGGAACTCAACACGCAATCCGAAGACGTATAGGTCTGACGCGGATGTGCTCGCCGACGCGTGGGCCAATACGTCGAGCCAACACGCAACGTACTGACACGGACGTTTTGAGCACGGTACGCGCTGCGCTTTAAAACGGGCGTATCGGTGCAACTAAGGCCGTGAACTCACGTCGTGCTTTTTCACAGCGTGAACCTCCTCCTCCTCCTCCTCCTCCTCCTCCTCCTCCTCCTTGGAGGAGGAGGAGGAGGAGGAAGAAGAGGAGGAGGAGGAGGATGAGGATGAGGATGAGGAGGAGGAGGAGGAGGAGGAGGAGGAGGAGGAGGAGACGAAGGAGACGCAGGAGGAGGAGAGAAGACGAAGGAGACGAAGGAGAAGGAGGAGGAGGAGCAGGAGGAGGAGGAAAGAGGATCCTCCCTTTTGCCTCCGCAGGCCGCGCCGCGGGCGCAAGTTGGCAACGTCGCAGTAGGCAGCGGGACGAGGGCGCGCGGGGGACTGGCGATCCATCCCGAGCCCGCCGCTCTTGACGGCCGCTCCGATCCAAGGCCGGGCACTGCATCCTGGTTAGGATGCGGTGCCCAGCCTTGGGGCAACTTTGTTAGATTAGCCGAAGAAAGTCGTTTCCTAGAGAAACGTGTGGTTTCCCAACATAAATGCTATGTATATATACATGTATATATATATATATATACACAAGAAAATGACCTCAGGGAGGGTGCGTTCTGGCCAGAATTTTGCCAGGAAAGTCCAACCGTGGCCACGAGGGCGCCCCAGGAGGCCCAGGACGACACTTTTCCATCGAGCCTCGAGCCCCAGTGGCCCAGACCTTCGACATCCTCATTTTTTCCCAGCGTGGGCCAGCGAAAGTCCCCGCCCCTCCTCGGGGAGGCTGCCGCTTTGCTGGCAGCCCCGGGTACCGGTTTAGGGGCCCCATGCAGACTCCGAACACTGCCCAAAACCTTCGGCCGCGTTCCTGCGCGACGCCAGGATGCCTGGGTTCGGGGGTCAAGAAGGCGACCCCCGGACCCATCCTGGGGTGCGCCCTGGCGCCAGGATTCCGACGGGAGTCTTTTCGTGGCCACGCGGGCGCCCGAGAAGGCCCGAGAAGGCCCAGGAGACCCGCACACCTCGACATCCTCCAGATCGCCTCCACCTTAAAAGGCCTCCTAGATGGGGTCCGAGTAGTGTCGGAAAATCGCGCCGCATCGCCATTGCATCGCCGATGCATGGGCGGCGTCGGCGATGCATCGGCGCCATCGGCGTGGAGAAGATCGGGCTCCTCAACGAGCCAGATTGCCGATGCATCGGCGATGCGACGCGATCCTCCGACTCCATCTACGGTCAGGAACCCTTGGATCGTGTATCGCGGCGGCTGCCCGGCGACACGCTATGCCCTGCAAGCGGATAGCGTGTCACTCCGCTCCGCGGAGCGGGAGGCTCGGAAAGGCTCAAGACGTTTGTTTTTTGACATCGACGCCACGCCTCCAAAACCTTGGACTGACCAAGGAAACGAGCCAGCAGCGGAGGGGTATGCTGGCACCTTGACCAAGGCAAACGCCTGGGTCACCGCGCAAAAGAGACAGCACGACGAGAGGTCGAGAGGACCACTGCGTCCACGTGCCCAAGCTCAAAGCGCACCTGCCACAACATCTCTAAGAGAGGGGGCAGGCACACTGGGCCACAGGAGGGCACTGAGCTGTAAGCGCAAAACCTCTAACTGCAGAGGCACTGCAACTGGAAGGCTCTCTCGTACCGACTGCCCTCGGCTGAACAAGAGGGACTGCGGACTAGGCAGCGCCCCTCCACAAGAGCCAGTGGCTCCAGGAGGTGGAGGGCAAGACGGAGGGACGAGCGACGTACACACGCACGAAGACGCGTGCCCAACGCCTACCCAAAAAATGTTGGGGCCAGGAACCAAAGCTCCAGGCCACAGCAACATCAGACGAGCCACAGCCAGGATAAAGATACCCCCGTGCTCGGACATGCAGAGGCGCACCCTAGGTGTGCATGCACCTTCCCCCAGGATTGGGGTGCCTGACACGCGTGCACGACGGACGCACGCACAACGAACTGCACACAACCAAGCAAAGAAGAAGATTCGACCACCCAGAAAAGGACGACGGGCCCGCAGTCCCTGGTGCAGCCAGCGCCAGGACGACATATGGACACGCCCCAGATGTGGGGTAAAGCACGGATGCCTGCCAAAAGGGCCAGCCGCATCGGGCCGTGCAGAGAAAAACGAGACGGCGAACCCTCGCCACTGGGAAAACTCGACCACCCATACAAGGACGACGAGGCCCGAAACCCCTGGTGCAAACAGCGCCAGGACGACCTCAGTCCCGCCCCAGATGTGGGGTTTAGCACGGATGCCTGCCAAAAGGGCCAGTCGCATCGGGCCGTGCAAGCAAATGCACTAGATGGGCCGCCCTG